GACTCCATTTTTATTGTGCATTCTGAGTAGAAATGATGATCCCATTAAAGATCGAGTCCCGCACACTCCAGACTAAACTCTATAATAAAGTTATCAATATTGAATACTTTATCAATCAATCATCATTTCCCATTAATTTTGGGGCCTTTTGGCATGTCTTTTTAGGAAGATCGTCTGGTAGCTTTGACAATCAAAAGACTCATTGCACTTTTGCATTAAGATCTGAGCGACTTGAAGCCTGTTTGGTTAAGGCATGTCTTTTTGTATGTTTTTTCGTGCGAAAATGAATAAAAAACGCAAAAGCTTCATTTAAAGCTCCTCTAAAATCGTCTTTTTTGATCTTTTTATGTTATTTCAGCACATCGGCTTTTGATAGCTAAATCTACCATGAACCAAATGAAAAAAGATTGAATCACAGTCTGCCAGTTTTGTAAATTACTGACAGACCACATGGAAAAGCATGCCAAACGGGCTCTTCTTATGAAGCCTTGTAAAGAAGATAATTCATTCTTCTACGCTTGCATTTGATTTTGACCAAATTTACCAATTGAAAACACTCCCCCCCTATTTCCTAGCTCTGCACTATTTGTCAAGTTGCTACCTCTCTTGTCATCCAGTCCCTTATATTTATATAGTTGCCGGTTTTCTTTTGATTCTACTGATCAATCAATTGAGGCGTTGGTGCTCAATGTGGTTACAGGTCCCACGTAATAATTTAATGCATTGATAGATGGAAGGAGATCACCATATCATCTATGTGGACTGTGGAGAGCCGGGTCTGTCCATTTTTGTCGATCTCCAACTTAAGATTAATTGTAATGGAAACCCGGCCACCAACCAGGAATTGATCAAAAAAGTTTCCATACATTTCTGAAAACTAAACTGGGAATCGAATAAATTTTAGAGAATCATAATCGTCTGGATGATGCAGTCGGTATGATCGAGCTGAATTAGCAAGTCTTACCAACTACTCTTTCACACTCGTTATTCAGTGTTAGAAGACGAGATTTGGAAGTCTGTATTTTGGTTCAAAGTATCGATACGTTTTTACTGATATATAGAGGTGTATTAGTACTTAGATATACACGAAAATGGTTTTTTTTATTATTTTTTTTCAAATTTTGGTTTTTAGAGAATTAAAAAAGAGTATTTTTTATTAAAAAAGAATGGGTCTTGAAACACTCGTAAACAGATGTATTAGAAGCCAAAAGATACATACGCTCGATATGCCCAATACGCCTGTTTTTGAACCTTAAGACTCTGCATGTAATATAAAAGTGCAGCTCAATACATGATATATATATATATATATATATATATATATATATATATATATATATATATCAGTTCTGCTTTTTTTTCAGTTTTCTGCATATAGCTTTATATAACATACCTTACTAGATATATAAGGTGTCTGAATATCAATTTATTGTTAAGAAAGAAAATGTGCATGTATGTATTCATGTAACATGAGATGGATTAGTACCAAGTTACAAAGATTCAGCTATTTAATTCCAGGCCTCCAGCTAGCTGCAATGCAGAGCAAGATAGAAACCAATGCCATTTATGGATCACATGTTCGCTTTTTTTTTTTCCTTTTCATGATTGAAATGTCTAATGTTCAATTAACATCTTAGAAGAATTCGATAAAAAAATAAAAGATGGTTGAACTATATGTTTGGATAAATACAACAACTCTCTCCTGTTCTTATTCATATCCATACATATTAATTAATATTTATATCTATATTAGAATTGGGAAAGAGGGGAGGTGAGGGGTCTTCTCACCATAGAGTTCACATGGACCTTTTGGGCTAAGTTTGGGAGTGCTTAAAAATAAGTATTTATTTAAATAAGCACTTATTTTGGGTCTGGACCAGTGAATAAGCATTTACTTGTGTACTTATTTGAGAAGACCACAAATTTGGCCTTATTTTTAAGTGCTTGTTTCCATTCTGACCTATCTTGGCCTGTCACACCATTTTAAAAGTACCTATTACCCCTGTTTAAAATAAGTGTTTTTTCACTAAATGCTTAAGTGCTTATTCTAATAAGTAATTGTCTTTATGCAGTTATTTTTCAAATAAGCACTTGCAAACTTGGCCTTGCTCTCATTTTCTCAAACATGTGGTTATTTATATTTTAAATTAAATTGTTAAAAATATAGCATGTCAAAATTTCTCTCTCTCCCTAACAGTCGCTCACCCATGAAATCCTCCCTTTCCTCTTAGATGTCTCTTAACCCTTTTGACTTTCTCTCTAATGAAATAGGGTGTAAATTAGATAGATTGGGCTAGGTGTGAGGCTAACCCTAAATATGAATCTAACTTGAACCCAAACTAATGTCAAAACCCCAATTTGCCCATCCAAATTAACCAAATTTCCTTATAACCCCTTGCCTTGTATGGATTTACTTGCTAGTATGATATAAAAGACCACACAGCCAGTTGGGTTGATCAAGTGTCCCCAGGGATGAGGAATCTATATTGCATGTGACAGGCTTGCTAGCCTATACGCCTGTTCTATGCCTCATAACCACATTTTCATTTAAAAATGGAAAATTTCTTTTGTATAGAATTTTATTGCATATGTAGAGAGGCTAGATGGAGCTCAAAATGCATGCAGATCGCACCTTTTTAAGTTGGCACTCTTTACTTGTGATTCCTTGCTGAGTTGCTGTTAGGGGTGATCATTTTCCAGCCTGACCCATAAATTCCAAACTTGAGTCTTGATTTTGTGTTTAGGCTCAGTTTGGAAGGAGAGTACAAATACAAATATGTAGTTTAAAATCTTGTATTTTATATAATTTTGTATGTACTTATACTGTGCATATTTGTAATTATACTTCTCCCAAACTGAGCCTTAGGTCCGGCTTAGGCTTGTATCAAGTCTGTAAATTATTGAGCTGGCGCCTGGGCCTAATACGTATATTGATATACATAATGCATACAGTCAAAAATGATTTATCATTACTATTAAGTCTACTATTAATTGCTAAAAGGTATGGATTTGGGCCAGAAACTATACCCATTATTAAAATTCTTATGCATTGGGCCTCAAAATGGGCTATTCAAGCTAAAGCCAATTTTAGCAAGTATATTCTTTCACTTACGTCTCAATTTCCACCATTGTATTTGTAGTAAGTGTGTCGATTGGATCAGACTTGGTTCAATTTGATCTGGTCCAATATGAATCCATTATAGATGGATCAGGTCCAATTAAATCCGATAAATACTTTAAGCCATTTTAAACCAGTTTGATTCAATGTGTAGACCAACCAATCTGTTCAAATTGGATTTAACCCAAAGCTGGTTCATTGACATTTAATTCAATATAATATAATGGATGGAGCAGGCCCAATTTAATCGAATAAATACTTTGGACCATTAAGTCTGAACTGATCTAATTCAATATATTTTATTGGTCCATCCAATCCATTCAAATTGATTTTGATTTAGCCAACATCCTGAAACCTAGGTGACAACCGACAAGGGCCAGCCCAATCCATTCAATATATCTTATTTATCCATAGAATTAGAGACTACGTTTTTTTGGCCCAATTGGCAATTGCAAGGTGGTAAAAACCTTGGTCTTAGAGACCGTAGAGTAGTTTGGATGGTTTGGGTCAGTTTAATAGATTTTTTTTTCAACTGATCGATCTGGTCGGGTTACTTAAAGAGTAAACTGAAACCGACATGCCATTAGGCAAAACCAACCCAAACATAAAGGGTCGGTTTGATTGGTTTGGCATTATTTGTGAACAGCCCTATATTTGGTGTAAAATTTTCTACTCAAAAAAGAAAAATAATCCTAAAGTTAAAAATAATTCTCATTTAACTAATATTTTATTGTTCTTTAATGTTAAAAATAAATAACTAACTAGAAAGAATAAACTAGGATAAGGAGTACCTAGTTAAGGAAAGACTAAGAAATCAAAAACTAACTAATTAACTCGATTTGATTTCAGTTTTTACATATATACCAAATTATCGATTTATTCCTCTTTACAACCTAAAACCCATAAATAATGAAAAAAAACTGACCAAATCGAATTGGGTCGAGGTGATTTGATCCATTTGGCATTGTTTGTAAACAGCCCTACCCACCATGTACGATTCCAACAGCGAAGTTTTACTGGGTAAAGAAAAATGTATCAGATGCAATACTGGCCGGAAGGGTACGATAACCGCAGATCTTCCTTTTTTAGGTATCATCCTTCTTGGGTATCATAGTTGGAGTGAGTTTTGAGAGAAGACCCCCGACTAAACTGGGACCTTGTCTACCCAGACAACGACGTGTACATTGACTAAAACAAGGCAACTTTTTTTTTTTGAGGGGGTTTGGTTGGTGCCCGATCAGAGGGGTGGAGCTGAAAGAGGACTTTCGTGGCGACTTCCCGTCCGTAATCCACATGGGTTCACTGTTCACATGTTCAGCGTGGAACCCACGACGGTTCTCTCTCTCTTCTCTTCTCTACACAAATCTTCTTGCCCTTCTTCCCAAATCCAAGCACTAGCAGACATGTTTCCCTGCTTATTTAATTAAATTTAATTGAATAGAATGTGGCAATGTGTTTCACCTCTCTTTACAAAAAATAAAAATTAAAACTAATTCACCGGCTGACCGCACCGCTGAGGCGCTGAGGAGCTAACCCGTAACCCTACTCTATTATTATAAAGCATCAGCAGAACTTGGATTTGAGACAGTGACCCCACACCTGACACCTGGCACCTCCATCCCTTCCTTTGCCGGTCAGACTCAGACCTTCCCATTATTCATTGACTCATTGCCGGTTTGCCAATTGCCACCCTCTCTCTATCTCTCTCTCTCTCTCCACCAAATCAATATAAATTATTTTGATGGATGCACTAATTCTAACCCAGAGGCAATATAAATGTACACATTAAAGGTGTTGACTAATCGAAACTGACCCAAGTAGCCGTGGGATTTATGTCTTAATCCATATTTAGTCCATCTGATAATCAGGATAATGAAGGGGTATTTCAGTCATACTCACACGACCCAGAAACTGGAATGCCTTCTTCCTTTCCGCTTCACATTTATAGAATAATTTATATCAAATTGGGAAGAATTGCAAGCAGAGGAATCACCCTGTTTGGAGCTTTGCATTCTCTCTCTCTCTCTCTCTCTCTCTCTCTCTCTTTCTCTCATTTTTGGGGTCCTAGTTAGCTAGCTTCCGAGTTGGGCGAAGTGAAGATCTGGAAAGAAAATGCACGCCAAGACAGATTCAGAGGTGACGAGTCTCGCCCCATCGTCTCCGACGAGATCCCCTCGGAGGCCCGTCTACTACGTGCAGAGCCCATCGCGAGACTCCCACGATGGCGAGAAGACAACAACATCTTTCCATTCGACTCCGGTACTCAGCCCCATGGGCTCACCCCCCCACTCCCATTCCTCCGTTGGTCGCCATTCCCGTGAATCCTCCAGCAGCCGGTTCTCCGGATCCCTCAAGCCTGGCTCACACAAGATCACGCCCAACGATGGATCTCGAGGGGGTCCCCACCGCAAGGGACAGAAGCCATGGAAGGAATGCGCCGTGATTGAAGAGGAGGGACTTCTGGAAGATGAGACAGCCGAAAGGAGTCTACCTCGTCGCTGTTATTACCTCGCTTTCGTTCTTGGCTTCATCTTACTTTTCTCTCTCTTTTCCTTAATCTTGTGGGGAGCCAGTCGACCTCAGAAGCCTACAATCACCATGAAGGTATAATTGAATTGTTGTTTGTTAATCAAAAACCCATCTTTCCCTTTTCTTTTCCTTATTTCTCTTCTCTGAAATGAATTTTTAATTTGCAGAGCATTACATTTGAGCAAATCGTGATTCAATCAGGTACGGATGCTACCGGAGTGGCGACCGATATGGTCTCCCTCAATTCCACTGTAAAGCTAGTTTTTCGTAATACTGCTACGTTTTTCGGAGTACATGTAACGTCAACACCTGTTGATCTCTCCTACTCTCAACTAAGTGTGGCCAGTGGCACCGTAAGCAACAAAGCCCATCTCATGTTACGTTTCTCTGAGAAAATAAAGATGAATCAATCAAACTCCATCTCTGTGGTGGTTTTAACCTTTTATTTCCTTCCCTCCTTGGGATGACATTGCAGATAAAGAAATTCTATCAGTCGAGGAAGAGCCAAAGAACGATGACGGTAGTAGTGATGGGGAACAAAATCCCTCTGTACGGAAGTGGGGAGGGTTTGAGCAGTTCGACAGGCACCTTAACGGTGCCGGTGCCTCTGAAACTGAGTTTCATGGTTCGATCGAGGGCATACGTCCTGGGAAAACTGGTCAAACCAAAGTTTCATAAGACGATCGAGTGCTCCGTGGTTCTTGATCCTAAGAAGCTCAACGTCCCCATTTCTCTGAAGAATTCGTGCACATACAGTTAAAAAGCAAGATCTGCGAAGAGTGCCAAGTAAAATCAGATTCATCACGGAGACAAGACTCGGGAGATATTTATTTACCCTTTTAAATTTGTTCAGTTTTTTTTTTTTTTTTTTACCTTCGTTAAATTCAGGGAATTTCTTTGGAAAGGTGGAGACAGCTAGACGGTCGATGACGTGGCTTTGGTTGCCCGGAAGACAGCTGGGTATTAACTGGTGTCCGGTGGTAGTGACATTTTTTCTTTGTTGTTGTTGATTATTTAATGTTATTAATTAAAAATACAATAAAATAACTGGTCAGTGGTCTCGTTCTATATATTGGAGTTTTGTTTTATCTCCATCAATCCACGATCCCTCATAGTTTATTGGTAGTAGAGATTCTGTGTAATCGATTGTTTTTGTTAACTTTCTCTGTAAATTCATATTTAGAGAAACAATGTAGTGATTAAAATACTAAAATTATTTGCTTATCGTCATTACTCTGAAGTCTGAATTATCGGTTGCTTGCTTTCTTCGAGGCAAAAAATATATAGAAAATGCGTAGTAGATGTAGGTGGAAGTTGGTTACAGGAAGAAATTGAGATCAGATCAAAAACTCGAAAGTGTCTTCTTCTTTTTCACTTTCTCTTTTTTGTATTGAGACTTGAGAGAAGTGGATATATATGCTTTCCTCCATCGGCGGTTGACTTGCTCCCTGATCCTATTCCCACCTCTCAAGTCTCAATTAGTGATGGCTGAGAGACTGAGAGTCGAGACTGAGGGTGAGGGAACACCAGGACCCACAGTCTCCGTTGCCCACGTTCATTTCCGATGCCCGGCCAGCACTTTGCCGTTTCTTTTCACGCTTCAAAATTTCTCTCAGAACAAGGCCACGTGGCTACAGTTGCTATTGGAACAATCAAATATACGGCCACGTGTGGTCCATACTTGAGATTGTAAACCGTGTTCTGTATTCCTCATCATTGGCCCTAAAATGGGAATTAGGGGTTGGGCATTTTTAGAATCGAACCGATATTATCGGTTTTTGGAAAACCGGTAACCGGAACCGAATCCAATCCAGATAATCAGTCAACCAGTTTGGTTAACCGTTAATTCCATTCATTGGTTTTTCGGTATTTTAATTTTTATAATATATTATAAAAATATATAATAAAAAATTATAAGTATATATAAAATATTATATTTTAAATAATAAATAATATATTATATATTATATATTATAAATATATTTATTTATTTATATAATGTATATTTATTAATTTATAATATATAAAAAAATATAATCTATATAATATATAGAAATATATGTATACCGGTCGGTTTTTTATATTGATTAATTGAAATCGTTTTTTAAAAACACCAAATCGAAATCAAAACGACCGATTCGATTAACCGGTTTTTCGGTTCGATTTTGGTCGATTCAGTTTTTCGGTTTTTTGCTCACACCTAATGGAAATTCAAAATTGCTCCTCACAGCGGTCATCACATTCAGTTGTACATTAATAACTAGCGGGACTCGTGGAATGTACAGAATTTATCATGTGAAATAACTAAAACTTATAATTAATGAAAGAATACAATATTGTTTAAAATAATTAAATCTTTAATTTGTTACAAAAAATGTTTTACTAATTTAGTAATTTATTAATTTGAATTAATTATATTAATATTTTTAACAAAAAAATATATTATTGTTAATTATTTAATAAAATAATTATTTTTCCATATTATTTGTTAGTGTTCTTTTTTATCTATTTTACTTTATTAATAATTACATATTTTAATTGTTTGTAAAATTTAAAATACTCAAATACCAATAAATATATATATATATATATATAATTTGGCTATAGTCATAGTTAAATTAATCTATAGTTATTTGTTTTAGTCATAATTAAATTAATCTAACTCCAAACTTAAGGTTTGAGACTTTGTATTAGACTTGGATTATCCTCATCTTGACCCAACCCACCCAAGTTGCATGCATCATAGTATTCATAATTGGACTGAACCAAACCAAGTACAACCCATGCATACATTATTTTTTGGGTTTTTTAACTATTTTTAGATAATATTGAAACTAAAGTAGCTATGGATCGGCTACCCCCATTGTGTAGCACAATGAACCAAAAAATTTAAATATCTCAAGCTAAATTTTGATAGTGCATTAGTAGTTTTTAAGGTTGTTTGGCCAAGCCCGACCCACACCTTAAGTGTAATAATATTTGTCTGAGCCTACAGGCTTGCCCTTGTTAATTATAAAACTATGATTTTGTTACAAATTAAAAATATATAGTTTTTATATTTCTATATATTAATATAAAATTTGTTATCTAAATATTGTATAATAATATTTACCATACGTGCATATAACTTCCATGTTGAGTTTTACTAGGTTTGTTTAATTTGGACCCCATCTGCTAGGATTATCATTGGACTTCGAAAGTTTGATACTTAATTAGACTTTGAATCCAAGTATCCTAAATTTGGATGTTAGAACTTGCATCTGGTTAATAATTCAATTGGATGTGGATTTAACCCCACACCCAATTTGATTAAAATCCATGTCTAATAAAAAACTATTATTTTGTATATGTAGTATAATTATAGTATACACATAGATATTGATATATGTATTTATACTTTAAAATTCAAAGTCCAACATAATAATAATAATAATAATAATAATAAGATGTCGATACAAATCTACAAATTTCATAATCGGATGTTGATGTGAATGTAGTTGGATTTGATTTGAATTTGATCCATTTATAGCCCTACTACCCACATTATGTGTGGGCTTGGTGTATCTTTGAGATAGACCTAACTCAAAAAAAAAGTTGCTTGAGCATGAAAATTTATAAATCTAATCAGGTTAGGCTAAGTTATAAATGATTTAATACTTATTATTATTAATTTTAATTATCCTCTAAACAATAATTTTTATTAATTTCTTAATTTTATTAATTTTACAACCCTACTAGGTTGGAATGCAAATGGTTTAATTTTATTATTTTTCACAATTATTTACTTTTATTATTAATTTTAAATTATCCTAACTTTTTATTGTTATTTTTAATTATCTTATTAATATTACTTATTTTCAAATAGAATTAAAATGTATTTTAGTTTTTTTAATTTATGAACTACTAATATTTATTAATTTCTTAACTTTTAATAGTTACTATTATTATTATTATTTTATATATTTATTATATAGAGAAACTTGAACTGTTTACAAGAATGGATCAATATAGACCCATTTAACTTGTCTTATTTGTCTGAGTGATAAAATGGGTCAATATAGGCACTATGCATAGTAAATGTCTCAACTCATAAAAATTATTAATTTTAATAATAATATTAATTAATTAATTAATTAAAATGCATTAATACAAACAAAATAAAACATTAGAACATGGGTTCCATTTGCAATATATCAAACCCATGTTTAAATCATAATATTATTAAAACTATCAAATAATATTTTTTGTATTTAAATTTATCATTTTTATTAGTGTTTATTAGTTTTAAGTGAAAGTTTAGTGGATTTTTAAATTAATAATTTTTTTTTAAATTATGTTTTTGTTGTTGTTGTTTTATGTTTGATTGTTTAACCTCAACCTACTTATATTATTTGATTTATTAATATTTTACTTTATTATGTTGTATTACTATTCTCTCTCTCTCTCTCTCTCTCTCTCTTGAATGTTGTTTTTTAAATGTAATAATAACATGCATTAAAATAATAGACCTTGGGAAACCTAAAGGTCTCTCTTTCCCACTCTCTAATAGTGTACAACTTTATTTATGCAATCAAGATAGACAATGATTAATTTTTATATTTTAAAACAATAGAAAATAGGAAAAGAAAAAAAAAAGAAAATAGATAAATAGCTTATCTCAAAGGAGAGATATGCTAACATTCATTAAAATGGGTCAATATAGACCCGTTTAACTTGTCTTCTTTGTCTAAGTGATAAAATGGGTTCTACATTAATTAAAATGGGTCGATATAGACACTATGCATAGTAAAGGTCTCAACTCATAAAAATTATTAATTTTAATAATATTATTAAATTAATTAATTAAAATGCATTAATACAAACAAAATATAACATTAGAACATAGGTTCTATTTGCAATATATCAAACCCATATTTAAATCATAATATTTTTAAAACTAGCAATTAATATTTTTTGTATTTAAATGTGTTATTTTTATAGTGTTTATTAAGTTTTAAGTAGAATTGAAGTGTTTTTAGTTTTTACTAAGTTTTGTTAATATTTATTAGTTTTAAGTGAAATTTTAGTGAATTTTTAAATTAATAATTTTTTAAAATAATGTTTTTATTTTTGTTGTTTTATGTTTGATTGTTTAAACTCAACCTACTTATATTGTTTGATTTATTAATATTTTACTTTATTCTTTTGTATTACTATTCTCTCTCACTCTCTCTCTTAAATGCTTTTTTTAAATGTAATAATAACATACATTAAAATAAGAGGCCTTGGAAAATCCAAAAGCTCTTTCTCGCTCTCTAATAATGTACAACTTTATTGATTTAATCAAAATAGACAATGATTACCTTTTTATATTTTAAAACAAAATAAAAAGAAATGCAAAAATAAATAAATAAATAAATAACTTTTATCAAATGAGAGACATATTGACATAAACCATCCAATTTTATTATATAAAATATAAATACCTTTCCATGAATAATAAGCACGCTTATAAGCAACTTAGAACTTTTTTTGGGGGAGGAGGGAATAATCAAGTCCGAATTCTTCTATTGTGGCAAGACAAGAGGTATGGAAGGAATATAAATGCAAATATGTGTAGAGTGCAAAATCATGTATTTTATATTATTTTATATATTTGTATTTGTACATTTTTCAAACTGAACCAAAGGTTATCGTAGGATTACATATCTACCCTCGCCATATTTACCAATCGACTGATTGATGGTGTCAGGTGTTTTTTTCTCGTAGGGTTGTTTGGTAATTAAGCACCTTTATTTGACGCATGCATATAAAGGGACCAACTGACATTTAGAATAATTAATTTGGATTCCAGAAAAACAAAAACAAAAATCTTTCATTAGCATTTGCATATTAACATCCAATTATTCCAAACAACCTCACAATCCCTTTTAAATCTGGATGCACAGTAAAAGTGAAGTTTGGAATCATAAAACTTTGCTCAAAAAGATCCTTAAAATAATAAATACCAAATGCAGCCTAAGAAAATTTTCGGTGCTGTATAAGGGTTGAAGTAAGGTTTTTTTTCTTCTTAGGCTCAGTTTTGAAAAAGTATAAATACAAATATATACAGTATAAATATATAAAATATAAAATTTTGCACTCTACATACTTACATTTGTACTCCTTTCAAACTGAGCCTTAGGGGTATAAACGCTAATAAAATTAGGAGGGTAAAAGTAAATAAACATGGGTGGGCCAAAATATAAGTTAGAATGTGAGATATAGGTGGAGGATTTTGGGGATTTTTAAGAAGGGATAATGGGGGGCTATGGCTCCACTCTGCCACCCCCTGGCTCTACCCATGGTAGTGTGGTTGGTAAGGGTGTCAATGGACCAGTTTTGGATTGGATCCCGTTCAGTCCAAAATTAATTTGGATGGATTGAATGGACCAATAAGACATATTGGATTGGACCTGATCTGCCCGTAACAAATTTATATCGGATTGGGTTGGATTAAATCAAATCTGGTCCATTGATTTAAGATAGAATATATCTGTCAATGGACCGGTTTTGAGTTGAAACCAATCTAAATCAAAATGAATATGAACAGATTGGATGGTCCAAACATTGAATTGGATTAGTCCAAATTGATCCATAATATTCATTGGATTGGATTGAACCTGGTCCATTTATAATGAACTCACACTGAACTGGATCGAATTGGACCAAATCCGGTCCAATTGACACCCCTTAGTCTCTACAACAGTACAACCTGTGGTGTGTTTGAATTCAATGGGCCCAACTGTTCTCCTGTGGTTGAAATCACATAATTTGAGTAATACAGCACTTTATGAGGTCTCCTGTGTTATGGTGTGAATCTATTGTTTAGCAAATTATCAAATAGAATATTTCGACCATGTATTACATTATATATCATAATCATCAAATTTATATATTATATACCATAATCATGTTTTTTTTTTGTTTTTTTTTTATTTCTTTTGAAGGGCTATACAAAGGGTAGTCCATCCCCCAACCCAGGTGCAGCACCCGGTGCGATTCTATCCTAAGTCTCCACTACAATTAATATGAGACCTTACCAACCAATTTGTTGGCACCTTGCACCATAATCATTAAATATATGATATTTTAGCACATAAGGCAAGTTGTAACATTTTCAAAATCATATGTAAGCAATTTCAAAACTCACAACACCCTTAAAAAAGGAAAATCTAGGTGGCGTTTGGTAGTGTGGTAGGCCACGAGATAGTGGGTTTTGAAACACACCACACCACCTTTGATGCATTTGGTATAAGTGTGGTGTGGTTTGAAACACAATATCTTGTGTTCTCAACCACACCACACCCAATTTCTCGATCATAGGTCAATCTCGTGGTCTCAACCATGCTATAGGGACTATAGGCCCATAATCCATTTCGATACGTCACATCTATCTAAAGCCCTAAATTTTTTACTGTTGCAACTAGCCCACTACCACTATTCTGGTTTTCCCTAGAGGTGTAAAACAGGCCGTGTCGCCCTTCCCTGGTATAACTTGGGGGTCAGTCTGGCACAACCCACGGTTTAAGCCCGTATGGGCCTAGGCTGGGCTGGTTCACGGGCTAAGCCTTGGGCCAGGCTGGGTCGTGAACCGGGCCAAAGGTATTTATTTAAAAAAAAATGAAAAGAAACTTAAAATTTTAATTTTATATGAATTTTGATGTATACAATTGCTTATATATACAATAATTAAATAAATTAGTATAATAAAACTGAAAAAAATATCTATTTTACTAATATATTATATACTATATATTATTATATTATTATAATTTATATAATATATTATATTATATATATAAATAATATATACGAGTTGTGTTGGGTCGTGCCGTGTCAGCCCGGCCCGCGAACCTAAAACCCCAGGCCCAACATGATCCACTCAATCATGCCGGGCCTGGCACAGCCCACGGACTGTTATGCCGCGCCACAGACGGCACGGCCCAATTTACACCTCTACTTCTTCCCACTACTCTTACCTAGACGAGGGCCTTCCATTACCATTCTTTGTTGTCATTTCTTCCCACTCGACAACCTCCATTATCGTCCTGCAGGTTCTCACTTCCATTGCCGTTCTCATGGAGGGAAGTAGTTGCCCCTGTTCTTCCTTGGTTTATCTTGAGTTTTATTTTCATTTGATTTTATAACTAGCTTCAAATGATCTATGTTTGTTGGACCGGTTAGCTCAAATATCTATTCTTACCCGTTGGACTGTGTTTTGTTTGGCTGTGTTTATCCTTCCTCTGTACTTATATGTTCTTATATGTCTTGGAGTTGGGTCCAACTGTGTTTTCTTTTACTATGTTTCATCCCTAAACAAAGCTCCAACAGTGGTCTGTTGGATAACGTCTAACAAACAGTAAAGCTCTGTGTTTCATTCCTGAACAAAGCTCCAACAGACAGGATTTTGTTTATTTTAACCATTCTAACAGATGTTATATGTTCTTATATGTCTTGGGTCGAATTTTTAAGAAACCTCTAATCTACATCCTCAAATGTAATGAGCTTGGAAAACCAAATTCTGAAGAAAATCAGATTTCTAATTGCTTTTACTGAAAAGGAAAAACTAATGTTGACGTTTGGTGTGGCTGAGTAATTCAACAGTCACAAATTACTCTACTAAACTGCTCCACCATCTTGCTGAAATTTAGGGACCACGTTCCCATTTTCTTCACTATATAAAAGGGAGCTTCCAGAGAGAAGATTGGAACGTGGGTAGTGAGCATTAGAGAGCACTTATACAAAGAGGTTTTGCAATCTGCAACCCAGAGATCTGAATTTCAGAAATCGTTCATTCGAGCAGTCTGCATATTCATAGAACTCTGCAACTTATACAAGTCTGCAACTTAGAGAAGTTTGAACTTCTGTAATACTTCAATTGATGTTGTTATCTACTGGTTTCTCTGCCTTTGCAGCCTATGCCATGGATTGCGTCAAGGCTTTGTTAAAAGCATATCACACTATTAAGGTGGCCAGTTTGTAGTACTCTCATCAGGGACATGAATAAAACAAGTTCTCCTTCATCTCTCGTGGATGTAAGTCTCTTTGGCCGAATCATGTAAATCTAGTGTCATCTTTACCTTTATTATTTGCTTTATAATTCACATATTTCTTAATTGTTTTTGAATTTGCTATTTAATGGCCATACTAATTAATCGGTAATTCAAAGTTTTAATCATTACAACTAATCTTATTTACTTCTACGCACATCAAGACTCTGATACACCTTAACAATGCAACTTAAATAATGCTGGTAAGCTAAACTGAATTTGTGAACCACAAATTAAAATCCAACCTTCCAAAGAAATTGAGGAAAATCTAATTAACAAAAAAAAGGGTAAATCTCTTAGCGTAATGACACGTGGTACCCCTATTATTTAATTATTATCTTGCCGTACTGACAATTGCTATCCCATTCGTTAACACGTGACATCATATGATATACAATTTTTTTTCAAAACCCAATTTTGCCCTTCATCCCCTCCCTTTTTCACCATCCCTCTCCCCAGCAACAGCTACCAAGTCTTTTGTAGAGGAGGTGAAGGTAGCTGTGGCGGCGGGGGTTACGGAGGCAGAGGTGGCTGTAAACCTAACCATATCTACTTCATATCCAACCGGTGTTGCAGGGAATGATTTTTTTGTGGACGACCTTTTTGACTTTTCTAACGAGGATGTTGGAAGAGGGCCTTTTGAGGAAGTAGAAAAAGAAGAAGAGAAGGATTTCAAGAACAAGGGGAAAATGATAACTGCAACTCTGTCGCTTTTTCTGTGAAAGACGATTTTGGGTCTGTTCCCAGCAGTGAACTCAGCGTTCCGGTAAGCTGTTTCCCCGTTAAAATAACCGATAATACTTTTCTTTCCGTTTTTCTGCATAAAAATTTTAACTTGTTGAAGGAACTCATTTCAGACAGATGTTTGGCGAGCCTCGAATGGTTATCTCGTTTCGTGGAGGAGCACATCCACGATAACTTGGCTGAAAGAGGCAAACCCATCTGCTGCTCCTGGTCTTTGCTCTTCTTAAGCAGAGGCTCCGGCGAAGACGAAGCTGATGACCCCCAAGCTTCCCTTCCGAATTGGAATCTCTCCACCAGCCATTGCACATGGACCGGTGTCTCCTGCAACTCCTTCAATCGAGTTGTTTCTCTTGATCTCTCCAACATGAACCTCTTCGGCATTTTGTCACCCGACGCCAGCCAGTTTCGCAACCTCATCAACCTAATCGCCGCTGCTAATTTCTTCTCTAGATCCATCCCTTGGGAGATCTCTCGTAGGGGAGGCGAGATCGTTGGGTACCGAAAGCAATTCTAGATTCCTCGGTACGTTTGCTTCGTTTTTCATCTCTTTTTTTAGTTCATTTGGCCTAAATGCTGATCCCTAATAACCAGAAATTGGCCTGAACGTCCAGAATCGCACATCGTCGTTTTTTGTTTCTGCAGACAACAACCATACCACACTTGCTGAGACCCATCGTATGTGGCAAAAAAGAATTTCGAACTGTTCCCTCAATTGAATATTTCTCACAAGAAAAATAGGACTCCGAGGAGGAAACAATCAGAAGATGTTGTTAATGAGAGAAAATAATCTCTCCAACGGACAAAACCCAAGGTGAGACGCTGAACGGGTACCATGCAAGGTGAGAAGCAAATGTGCGAGAACCGGTGGAAGGGTTTGGTCCCTCAGGTCTCCTTTGCTCAGGGAGTCTTCTTCTTCGCCGTCGTCATCATCTTCTTCCTCTTCGTCGTCCTCTTCGACGTCATGTCTCATTTTGACCAACAGCGGCCAAAACCTGGAATTGTTCAACCATTCCGCAAAGCCGCCGGTGAAGAAGCAAAAGAAGAAGCCGGTTACAGAGACAAGTGGGCCCCAACTGCCTCGCAGGTGCATCCATTGTCATGTTCAGAAGATCCCAGAGTGGAGAACCGGTCTGCTGGGGGCCAAGACCCTATGTAGCGCTTGTGGTGCTCGTTATAAGTCCAGTCGGCTCTTGCCAGAGTATAGACCGGCTTGTAGCCCTACGTTCTCAAGCGACGTTCATTCCAACAACCACCGCAAGGTTCCGGAGATGTGACGGAAGAAAGAGAATAAGAGGAGGGGACGAAATTTTTAAAATAGTGGAGGGTAAATTTGATATTTCATTTCTTTTCGTCAGTATATATGACCATCGTTAAAAAAACTTAAGAGTACCACAAACACAAAACAATAGCTAAACAATAAAGGTGCCCCATGTCATTACACTAAAAGTTGGGATAATTTAAGAGATTTAAACCAAAAAAAAGAACAATTTCCATGGGATGACAAAAACCAAGTAATCATAATCCATAACCAAATTTCCCATCAATTACTCCAACCACCCGACAATGAGTAAGCTTTGGTGAAAAATGTATGAACATGGTGAGAAGAAGAGCATGTCAAGCCTGTTGCATGTATACACACAATTGAAAATGCACATGCTAGACTATGAACATAAAAGTTTGTTTCTAACATATAGCTGATACTCATGAAAGTAACTTTCTAAAAGCCTTTTTCAATTTACATGCTCACCTCATATTCATATTATTGATTTTCTTGATTTACTGTGTAAGTCACCTCACATTATTTATATGAGATCCACAATCAAAATACAAGGTATGACCTAAATCACACTATATCTTGCAGAACGCTTATATAGGTGTGGTATGGTTCATGCTACCAAAATTTGACCACCTCCACCAAGGTTCCAAAGTGGTTCCACGCTCTCCATCGTGGGCAATTGTAGAGGACCCATTATTCTAACACATACCCCTTTTCCTCCGATGTCTTTGGTCCATTTCATGGCCACCACCACTATGATATGGGTGGTTGAATTTGTGGTGGGATTCTTCACCACATTAGTGGAAGGTCGATCATGCTGTTTGGCATCGTTGTCATTTTTTGGAGCAACGGCGCCACATCAGAAAAAGTGGGGTTCCAGGAAATGGGCTTTTGTTTGGAATCGTTTTTCCATAAAAAACGGTGCTCTAAATCATACATCGGAAATCGGGAAGCAATGGCTTGGAGTAACGCCAAATTTGGCATTTCCTAGAGCTGCACCTCGTTGCTGCCAACATGACAGTGATGTGGCACTAGATAATGGGTACTTGTTTGAAAACGTTTCCTGGAGCAATGGTACCAAACAGAAAAAATTGTTACTCCTGGAAATGTCCTACTTGGCAGCAACTATTCCAAACAAAAATAAAGGCACCATTTTCTAAGAAAGTGGTGCTTCATGCCACACATCAGCAGCATCATTTTCTCAGAAAACATGTTGAAACTGCAGCATCGATGCCAAACATATACTTAATGTTCTCAACTGCAAGAACTCAATTGTGATGTCAGGCCTTAGTTAATCCAATCGGCCCATGGTCGAACCTGGTTTGAGATAATGATGACAGACCGTATGTGTGAAAATTCAAATGGACAGACTACAAATCTAGTCATTTCATCTTCATTGCATCGAACCAAGTCCAAGTGCAGGTTGATTGGTTCAAACCAAGGCCCAAAATCGCAACTGAATTCCATAGCAAAGCACACCAAGGACTTGTCTTCTAGACCGTGGCTGAACACCACCCTCCTCGGCTATGGTATTGGGGGGTGGATGATGAAATTGTACTCTGGAATCTGGCATAATCGACCTACTACATCAGAGCTGACATGGTGAAGTATCGCACCATTAGTTCGACCACGTCGATAGTTCGAAGGGTCAATATATGACAAAGGTGGTGACCATGAAAATGATCAAAGACCCCAAACAAAGTGGGGCACGTGGTAGAACAATAGATCCTCTACAACCGCCCACAGGCCACAGGCCACAATGGTGAGCGTAGAATCGTCCTAAAACCTCGGGTGGAGGATGCCCCAGCATATGCCTCATGTCCCGTGAAGTGTGGTGCACTACGGTAATCCCCAAAGTATTTAAGGGAACTCCGCAAGAGCCCTTCCTCTTATTCCACTCTCCCAGCATTATAGATCTCGCTCTTTTGCTCTTTAGTTCTACTCGGTTAAGACCAGTTCGGCCTGTCTTACCTCCTCTTTTTTTATTGATTTAAGTGTCGGAGTGCTTCTTTTAGGGGAATCACCTCAAGGCCTCTGATTTAGGCTTCTTGTAGGTCATTGAATTCTCATCGACTCATCCTACACAGTTCATCCAGAAGAAACAATCCAGCTTAACCAAACCCTATTTTATTTTTTGCTCATCTACCTCATCTCAACAACATATGTGCTTTGATTGGCCAAAGCTATTTTGGTAGGGACCGGATCTAGTAGGCACAGCATAAGTAAGCACGCTAAATGAGCACTTGATAAGTATTTTGACAACTGTCAGAAGTAGGTTTTAATCTTTTCCAAGGGTGGTCTAAGGGTATTTTAAGGGACAGGTGTCAAAAAAAAAATTCAAGTGCTCATTAAACATGCTTACAACGCTGTGCTTATCTGATCTGAACTGCTTTCGGTATCATAGATTCCCTTTGCAAAAATACTACTTATAAATACTTGGTTAACATATTCATAATCTCAAAATCTCGTTCGTTCTTTACGGACTTGCATCAAATTCCCAATTGTTCATACTCAATTCCATAATCAGAAAAAACTTGGCAGTAAATATTTTAAGATAAATACAAAAAGCAAAGCATGGAAGTAGGAAAAGAAATCAGAAACCACCAAAAACAAAGGACCCAAATCTTAATTTGGAAGGAGTGAAAATACAAGTTTAGAAAAATACAATGTTTTGCACTATACATATTTGTATTTGTATTTGTACCCAATTATAGATTTAGAGACTTATAGGTACTTACAGGTACAAATATGAAAAAAAAGGGATACGACTCCGTTTTCTAAAAATAACATATATGGATACAAGCATTGATATTCTATTTAGTTATGCTTTTTTTCGTGTTTTTGTATCTACTTTTTGAATCAAGGCTTCATTTGAAAAGGGTCTCAATTTGGAAAGAGTGCAAACACAAATATGTATAGTATAAATACAAGATTTAGAAATACCAAATATATGGTATTGTGTTGTATATATTTGTATTTGTACTCTTTTAAAGATTCAATTTCAAAAAAGTACAAAAACAAATACAAGATTTAAAAAATTGCAGTAGACAAGGTTTCACACATTACATTTTTGTATTTACACTCTTTCCAAACTGAGCATAAATGTCATTTTTCAACTTGTCTTGGTAAATTTAATTAAATTTCTAACATGTATAAATTTTGTATAGCATAATTTGTTAAATAATACAGTCATACCATTTTACGTGTTTTTTTATAGGTAGCAATTAAAATTTTATAAATTTAATAGAAATATATACATGGTGCCTAGCACCCCCTTTCTAGATTTTCGTATATATAAATTTTAAACTTTGTTTATGTCTTTCATTACAACTTAGCTCAAAATAAATAATTCATTGTTGCCCTTTGCTTGGGTAAAGATTCTGCCAAGCAATTTTCCAACCTATCAAGTATCAACCCAATGAAAAGTAGATTAATCAAACTTCATTATCAAGAATCCAATTTCTTGTATATTTATCAAGAATACGAGAACATCTCAGCAGAAGTTGTCAAATATCAGTTTTATTATATTACATAGTTGATCTTATTGGAGAAGTTAAGGATGGACAGTGGAAGGAAAAGAAAGGAGGTAGAAACAAAGGTTTTAAAAGAGGTAGTAGTGTCACAAGTCTTGAATCAAGACAGAACATCAAAATGAGAACTGGCTATAGCTTATTTAGAAAGAATTAGTTGGGATCAACAAATGTTGTAGAGTATGATAGAATGATGGAGACAATGTGATTAACAAGATATTGAAGAGGTGGGCTAGATAGAAGTAGGGGTGGCAATTTGTCATTCAATCTGTTGAACTCACCCAACCCATTAGTTACATAACCTGTAAAACCCACCCATTTACTTAACCGGTAGGAAATGGGTTGAATAACCCATTGAATCAATTTAAATGGTTGGGTTGGGTTGTGGATATCCATTGGCTTAATCACTAAATTCTTTAACAATTTTTTTTTTTAATTTTCACATTCAGGTGAAATAATTTATAATTAGTGTATTAATTTTTTTTATTAAAATTAATTTAAATTCGAGTCAACATAGTTCACCCAAATTGACATGAATCCAAATTCAGTCAAATGGTTCAATGGCTTAATCTGGTTTGGATAAGTTGGTCCACTCATATTTGGCTGGAATTAACCTAGACCCAATCAATTCTTTTAAGGGACCAATTTGGTCTGATTTGATTCTAGCACAAATGGCCAACCATATCCATCCTTAATCAACCCAAACAATCTAGCAACTAGATCCACTCAATTTGGTCATCCTGACCCGACCCAATTTGGACCAAACCAACCTGACTAAGGTTTGGTTATGGTTGATCCATGCTTGATCCGGTTCGGGTAAATCAGTCTAGTCTCAAATATGAATCCATATCCGACCCAATTTAGATCGGTTTGGCTCAAACCAACCTGGTTCATATCTAAATGGATATGGTCAACTCAGTTTGATTCTATTTGGATCAATCGGTCTGGTCCAAGTCCAAACGATTTGACCACTTTTGATGCAAGTAGCTCAAATATGAATTTAGTTAGATGGTTCAAGTTGGCCTAGCCAATTTGAACCTAAGTGGTTCAGCCAAACCCATATATAGTCAAATGGCTCCATGTGATTAATTGCTTTTTATTCCCTTGTAAAAATATTATACATGTAATGTGATTTGAACCTTCATTACCTTTGTCAAAAGGGAGTTGGTTTTTAGTTTTAAGTGTCATCAACTAAGGTCTCATTTGGTTCACAGGAATAGTGGTCTGAAATCGGAATCGAAATGATCCATTCCAATTCGAACTGTTTGGTTGGGTGGAATCAGAATCCCATTCCCTTTCCTGGTGAATGGCATTCCCCCATTTGAGGGAATGGCCATTTTCCTCCTCCCTTAAGAATGAAATCCCATTCCAGCTTATTTCAATTCTCATTCCAATTCATGTGTGAACCAAACAGATTATGGGAATAGACCATTCTGATTCTAATTCTGAAGAATTTTGATTTCAATTCTGATTCTGACTATGAACCAAAGGGACCCTAAGTTGCAACAAGGTTAATGGGTTGGGTGGATTGGATTGGGTCAAAGAGAATTTGGATTGAATCCAAATCATTTAATTCTATTTAAATGGGTCATTAACAGATTGGCAGGTCAAATGGGTTGAGTTGAAGTTCAACGCAAACCTGACCAATTGCCAACCCTAGATACAAGGTTCTCTATTCAGTTGATTGAGCAGTGGTGATTGTGGTCATATAATTAATACTCCACCTTCTTTGATATATACAAAAATAATCATTATTACAGTTGATTTTAGAAGAGCCGAATATTTTGGTAGATCACTTCAAGATATTATTTTGCACTAAAATTTTTTAATAATTATTCAATAATGGCCATTGCCTAATGTTGGTCTAGCTATTTAGGGTCTTAGCTTATATATTGGATAGTCCTAAATCTTTAGCTTTTT